CTAGTTACTTACACTTTTTTTTTTCTTAGAGCATCAACCCCGATGAAGCTGTTGCCTACGGTGCTGCCGTTCAGGCCGGTATCCTCTCCGGCAAGGCCACCTCTGCTGAGACCGCTGATCTGCTCCTTCTTGACGTTGTTCCTCTTTCCCTTGGTGTTGCCATGGAGGGCAACATCTTCGCCCCCGTTGTCAACCGTGGCCAGACCGTCCCCACTATCAAGAAGCGCACCTTCACCACTGTTGTCGACAACCAGAGCACTGTTCAGTTCCCCGTTTACCAGGGTGAGCGTACCAACTGTGCTGATAACACCTCCCTGGGAGAGTTCACTCTTGCTCCCCTTCCTCCCATGCGCGCCGGTGAGGCCGCTCTCGAGTGTGTCTTCGAGGTTGACGTCAACGGTATCCTGAAGGTCACCGCCACTGAGAAGACCTCCGGCCGCACTGCCAACATCACCATCTCCAACGCTGTTGGCAAGCTTTCCAGCGCCGAGATTGACCAGATGGTTGACGGTACGTTTTCTCTGTTGATTCTATTTCTTTTTGACTATATGCTAACGTGACTTTAATGTAGATGCTGCCAAGTTCAAGACCAGCGACGAGGCTTTCACCAAGCGCTTCGAGTCTCGTCAGCAGCTCGAGTCTTACATCTCCCGTGTCGAGGAGATTGTCTCCGACCCTGGCATGTCCATGAAGCTCAAGCGCGGCAACAAGGAGCGCATTGAGTCTGCTCTCAGTGACGCCATGGCCCAGCTCGAGGTTGAGGACTCCACCCCCGAGGACCTTAAGAAGAAGGAGCTTGCTCTCAAGCGTCTGATCACCAAGGCCATGGCCACACGGTAAATGCATACATGGGAAGACATGAACATAGACTTATGGCCAACGAATTTTCCTCTTTTTCCCGGGACTCTGCTTCTTAGGGAATCTGCACCATGTAGACCTTGGGCAGAGTTGGTCTCTGTCACGCTTTGTTTATGAAGCCGGGCAACTTGGGCGCAGTTTTCTTTTCTTGAAAAGTATGATTTGATTTGTTTTTTGTAGACGAAGTTCGCCATCTGCAATTTAATGACATTGTGATGATCTCCTTTCGTAATAATTGGAACACTTTATATAGTTCTATACCATGCATGGTAATATTGGGGTTGAATTTCTTTTTTTTTCTTTTTCTTTTTTTTTTGGCCGCGAGGCTGAAAGGCGGGTAACGTGAGAGATAACTTCGGAACTGTCCACCTCCGCCTCACAACTTTCTACACCAACCACTTCTACCATGCAACGCATTATAACCCAATCCATTCGCTCCTCTTGCCCTCGTCTTGTTGCGCGCCCTCAAGGGACGCAAGTGTTTCGATCTTCATGTCTCCTACCCCGAACACAGCGCGGCGTTCCTCTGAACGTGCGTGAGTTTACCAATTCGCCTGCCCTATACAAGAAAAAGGACAAGGCCAAAAAAGCTTCTGCTTCAGCTTCCGAGCCTGAGGAAAGCTCCAGCGCTCCTTCCGAAGATCCCTTTGATCTTTCCCAATTACACAATGGCATTTCCACAGCTGTTGCTCGGCTAAAGGATGATCTGTCCAAGCTTCGCGCAGGAGGGCGTTTCAATACCGCAGTCCTAGAAAGTTTGAGGGTCCAGCTGAGCAAAGATAGCAAAGATTCAGTCAAATTGGGGGATCTGGCGCAGGTTGTGCCCAAGGGAGGACGCATGGTTACTCTTTTGGCGGCCGAAGAGGATGTAAGTTCATGCCACTCGACCGCACTGATTTCTTTTCTTGTCGGGGACGTGAGCCTGCTATTGCTGTACCAATAGGGAACCAGTACTAATACACTTTGAGCAGCACTTGAAACCTCTTACTTCAGCAATTGTCTCCTCAAACCTCTCCTTGACCCCTCAGCCTGATCCTCACAACGCCCTCCAGCTCAACATTCCTATCCCACCGCCTACAAAAGAATCCCGGGACAAGAACGTCCAAGCTGCCAAGCAAGCATTCGAAAAGGCCGCCGGCGTAGTGCGTGACTCTAGGGGTGCCATGCATAAACGTCTTCAGGATATGCAGAAGAAGAAACTAGCTCGTCCAGACGACGTGCGCAAAGCCCACGACCAGATGGAGAAGGTTACAGAGCAGGGCCAGAAGGAGGTGAAGGATGCATTTGAAGGGGCCAAGAAAACATTGGAACAGGCATAAAAAGCCCAATTGGCAAGCCAAGGAAGGGTCATGAAAAATTATACTTATAGCCTATGGCAATGGGCGTTTGTAAAATAATACTTTGTAAATCTAGGTACAGGCATAGGCACAATTGTGAAAAATAGGGGAACATAGTGAAATGAACTGGGTTAACGAAACAAATATAATACAAATCACTTTCTAGCACTCAGTTCACATACATTAAACGCTCTTGGTCTTGCGGCCAGCAGAGACAAGAGATTCAATCTTGGCCATGAACTGTGAGGTCTTCCCAGTTGTCTGGTAGGTCGCGTTGTTCCTGAGGTTCTTCGACACCTCTCCCAATACGGCATGTCCATCTTTCCCGACTCCAGACTTGGGGTAGTTCCCCTGAACGAACATTTCCATGAGAGGCTTGGTGTTTGCTGCGTCGATGGGACTAAACTCGACATTCCGAGGCTCCACAAGGTCACCCTTGCGCTGTGAAATTTGATCGGCACGAAGCTGAGCCAATCGTTTGGTCTCTTCCAAAGCCTCGGCCTTATCATTTTCATTGTGGAACAGAACACTCTGGCCCTTCCATAGGCGCCTTCCAAGCTCATAGGGCGGGATATAGCCATTGGCAAAGCGGCCGCCCAGGCTGGAAAGCTTTTCATAGACAGCAGCCGAGCGCGAGTTCACGTCTGTGGGAATTGAAGGCCAGGTCTCTTTCAAGGTAGAGTAGTTGATCTCCTGGGGCTCATAGCGAATAGGGGTTGGCCGGGATTTGATGATTTGCTCTTGCAGAATTTGGTCGATAGCCGCCGCTTCGGCATCTTCGCCCTCGTCATTCTCCGAAGATCTTGCATTTCTGCGCGGGCCGTTTCGGTTACCTTTGGCGGCTTTGGCGGCTTTGGCGGATGGTTTAGGTTTGCGATTTGGGGGTTGGTTGCCGCCTCGAACGTTGCGTGATCTCGGGCTGCGGATAATCTTAGGTTGCTCTCCACCGCTAGCTCGTGCCGCTGCAAAAGATCTAGCATCAATCACTCGAGGAGGACGAGTTTGAGACTGGTTGGGCCGAGCTGGGGGGGCCATTGTAATTGCGAGGTCGGTGGGAAGGTGTGGCCGATGAAGGGCGGGAGTTGGGTTTACGGTTGTCTAATGAGTGTCAGAATTCAAACTCCTAATGGCCACAATAAGTGAGAGGCAGTTGTACAACTGTATTTATCTCAATGCCTGCTTCCCTTGTATGTACTTACCGGATGGCTGGGTTCGATCTTCGGCCACTGTACGAGTACAGGAGAACTGGCGAGCAGGTGTAGAAAGACCGAATTTTGCCCGTTCACAATGCAGTGAGATCTGTCTCAGCTGTGGCCGAAACATATTGTAGTCTGAATGAATCAGGTCGTACGCCTAGAGCGCTTTGGCGAAGAGACTTGATACTGTTCGACGCGGAAAGATTGAATGAAGAATTACAGTCACGTGAGTCACCGCCCTCCTCCGGGCTTCCAAGTAAACACCATTGTCAAGTCTTCCTTTGTTTCATTGCAATACCTTTCTAACTGCTAAAATGCTTCGTCGAAAGCCAACAGCTATTGCTATTACTTCCGAGGATATTGCTGCTTTTGAAGAAGCCAGACTTCGCAAACTGTCTGAAGAAAACAAACACCCAGAACAGCACGTAAAAGGGACCTCCAATGTCAACCTTGACCCCAGCGATGAATTGAAACCACTTCCAGGTGACAAGGCCAGGATTGTCCGGACCCGTGAAGAAAGAATTGGCGTTAGTCGGCGTGGTTGACTGTCCACACCACGATCTTGAGCCCCTAGACCACCATTTCATGTTGCTATGACTTGGTCCACAACACGACACTTGGATATGAGGTACATAACCCAATCATGATCTGCTTGCATGTATTTCTTGGCCCCTGAATTACCATAATTTCTCTTTGGGTCGTCATTATTCACCATTAACAAGAATAAATAGGGCAGAATCTTGTTGAAAACAAACACGCGTCCCATACATCCCACACCATCTTCCTCGTATGACAGCATATGGCAGCGAGTGATTGAACAATCATAGAGCATGGTGTTTTCTAAAGCACCAGACGATCAGACATTGATAGGGCATGGGTTTCTCTTTGCTGATATCTACCAACATCCCAGCATATCCCTGCATTCCCCCTATGGTTTCCCATTGGCTAGGACATTGACACAACACTGGAGAAGGAATGACACATTGGAAGATCTTGACAATACAGCAAACAATGTACACTACTTCGTTCAGGACACATCTATCGAGCATCCTGACAAGAACTGATGCACTAAGTGAGCCCTCTCTTTTGGCTTATTTCGGGATTTATTTCTTCTGATCGGAGGCTGTAGCTTAAAAATAGACATCAAAGATACTAGCAAGGACAATCTGAGAAACCCTCCAGTATAAAACACAAGTGCTATTCTACCACTGCTCTATACCGACATGTCCAATCTGTATAGTGTCTTTTCCACGACTATCAATTCTTTCCTAAATTCAGTCTACCAAAGAGACCAATTAAAGCAAGCTTTTGATGTACAACAGGATTTATGCATCAACTATCATCCCGGCCGTTTAGAGATGTCATGATGTTTGGGCATCTCTACCTCGGACCTTTCTTCATTGGGCCATGCCTATGTCCCTGGTGGTTGTAGTGTAAGAAGAAAACAGAAATATTCCACAGGAAAGAAAGGACGAAAGATATGAATATACAGTGACAATAGCAATGGTTGTCTTGGATAGTGAAACAAGAACCAGCAGGCCAAAAAGGGGAAATCGGGGGATTGGATGGGAGAGAAACAAGGTCGTAGATGGTTTGGTATTTTTGCGTCTTATCCTCTTTGGCGCTTGGACATGTTATTGTCGGAGCTAGCATCAACTGGATAATTCCATCGCCGTTTCAGCCCTTGTGGATCATACACACTAGCAACACTTTGCTGCCAGTCTCGTGCTGAGAATACAACTGGGGGTGCCTGGAACTGGGAAGGCGAGAGAGAGTGGGTAGATGTGACAGAGGGCACTTTGTTGGGTGTCTCGTATTGGATGGGGTATTGGGGGTTCATAACGTTTTGTACACTCGGTACTGAATTGTTTATAGGCATTGGTGGGGAGTTTGTGCTGACGGTAGAAGGGTTCACGGAGAAGGCCATGTCCCATTGACTAGAGTGAATGATTAGTATGAGACCAAGCGAGAGTCGAGTGTTGAAAGAAGTGGATCATGTACGTACGTGATGATTCGGGTCGGGTCCCAGTGATTTTCATCGACCGAAGGGGCATCTAGAGGATGAGTTGTTGAAGGCTGATGGGCAACCATCCCGAGGGATTGTATCTGGGAAGATGTGTCGGACTTCGAATCTTCAGCACCAGCCGAAATCGGAGGTGTTGCCGGGAGCGGGTTGTAACGCACTCTGGATTGGATTGGATTCAAGTGCGGATGATAGTGCGCATCCATAGGTGGACTGGGATGGTAGGGTTCCGAGGGACTGCCGTATGGGAAACTGGGCTTCAACTCGAAAGGACGCTGCATATCGGCGGAGAAAGCCAGTCTTAATGAATCGATCTGAGCCTGAATCTCCGGCATGGGCCAGGCGGCGGAGCACGTCTCGAGAATTCTCATATGACGGGTGAAGAATTCACGGGCATCTGAATTGAATTCCGGGTCGGGGGAGGTAATTGCAACCTACTCGTATTAGAATGTCTTTGCTACGAAAAAGAAAACTCCCACAAATTGTTAAATGCTTACCAGGTGCAGCATCGTACAAGTCAGGATACAATATATGGCAAAATTGATGCCTCTCTGCATGTAAAGTAGGCCAGATAGCCCGAACCTCTGCAAGATGGCTTCTTGTAGTCGACAGAGGCTTTTTGCCGAGGAGTAGCACAATGACATATGGATCTTCCATTCACCACCGGCTGCAAAAGATTGAGAAGCGAAAAGCTGAGGGCGATGTAACAAAATAATGGCGAGGTGGCAATGAGAATGCATATTGCCCACAAAATGAGATGGAAGCCACGGTGGAGAGCCATCGGCAGGATAGTTGACCTGTAGGTCTGGAGGAAGGTTGCGAAGCCAGTCTGCAAAAAGCGGGTTGTTTTGTACAAATCGGGCATCTGCGCCCCAGTCCTTTTGCTTCTTAACTTTGTGATAGATATCTGTAATTATGCGGATGTGATGTGCGTTGCGAACGAAGTAGGCGTATTGTCTTGAGCGGTCGATTTCGTAATGATCGAGACCTCTGATATCTAGCGTCGGACGCATTTCCACTGTCTCAGGATCGACCCCGTAATCCGAGCGGCCTACTTTAATTAGAAACTGGTTGATTTTAATGAAGGATGGGACGGAAATAGACTCACCTTGGGGCCCGCCGATCATCACCTCAACCACCATGAGAGCCTGCCACACTCTTGTGTGCACCAAGCATTCAATTGGACCCAGTCCACACGGCTTGCCTTCAGCGTGGTTACTGTAATGTTCATGAATGTCCAAATCTTTCGCCATTGAGACAATAGTCTTGACAGTCTGCCACGATCGATAATAGTACCCTTTCTTTGGCAAAGATTCCCTTGCTTTTAGTAGCAGAAGTAATGCTTGGATAGTACTCAAACGTGGCACATCCATAAAACTAGTCTCGTGTCCTATAAGATGTCAGTTTTTGAAGATGGCTGAAGGAATGTTCAATATTGACTTACTATTAGCCAAGGCAAGCCACTGAGCGCCTTCTGCGGGCTCATCAGATAAACGGCCCGCACAGGCAAAAAGGGCCTCGAGAAGAAGGGGAGAGATGGAATGGCGATCATGTTGCCATTGATAGTACAGATGGGCACGAGATACGACAGGGACATATGGATGTATCTCATCAAAGTAGATCTTGAAATAAGCCATAACGTCGTCTTCGGCAGGCATGAGCTCGGGGGGGGAATTCGAATCGTCACGCCCGATCCGGTTCTGAGAGGTGGGAGTTGCTCTTCAACGTCGTCCTGGATAGGGGCGTCGGGTTCAATTCGATCGGTGCGTTGCCTTCTAATGTATGGAGCTAAGGGGTGAGTGTTAGCCATCAGTCACGGGAAAATACATAGAAAGGCAATGTGCCATACCAATCCCGCTCTCATCAATCTTCAACTCCCCAAGTACATCGCTGAGGTTTTCTGCAGTTGACTGATCGTTATCAACATACACGTTCCGATCTGATGACCCCATAGACGGAGTCTGCGGCCCCGGAAACATTTGAGGCTGTTGATAAGTTTGGTGCGACATTGCCATCTGTGGTGACTGAAGATCGTTGTAGATGGTGGGCTGAGACTGAGGAGGGACGAATTGGGAATACATGCTCATTTGATCATACGAGGAAATAGTGTTCATAGTTGGCTGACTGTTGTCCTTGAAGATCGGCGCGACCGGAAATGTATGAGAACCCTCGGCTGCGTTAGAGGGTCCGCCGGTCTCGAGAGTAGACTCGCTCTGGCCATCAGGGGAGAAAGTCTCCATCTTGCCCGATGGTCGGAGGGACACAGACCAGCTTTAGACGAGTGCATGCAGAACAAGGCCACGTATTCGTCGTAGCTGCGTCACACTTGATTTTCCTTTTTCGGCAACCGTTACAGGCTCGCATCACTAAAAGCCAGGCTGGTCAGTATTTGTTGACTCGTCATGGACGCTTTTCATACCCTTCAATCTCTTATGTCGGTTATGCTCATCAACAAATACATAGTCTACACCAATGAATGGTTAGTTGCCAATGCAACATGCAAGGAACAGATGGTGCTTAAGGGACATACTTTTCTGGCCTTCTCTCGGGGGGGCCCGCTGGGGGCGCAAACGAATAACCTTGCATACTTGCCCGTTTGATAACAAGTGTCGGGTTTGTAGAATGGCGTAGACTGTGGCAGTTGAGGGAACTCAAGCTGGTATTGGGACTATCAGGGTATCAAGAAGGAAGAAAGAAAAAAAAAGACTGTGCTGGACGTTCTATCCACAAGGACCCGCCTCGGGAAATTGAAGGACGTTGTCGGTTTGTAGGTGAGAGAGAGAATGCAGAGGTCGAATCTCGCTCTGCCAGATAAGGATTTGTCGCCAGTGATCCAACTGCGCCCAGGAGGCGATAGGGCTGAAATGAAGATCAAGGGCAGAAATCGTGGGATGCTGGGGTAGTCGAAGTCTGAGCAGATTAATCGGGGCAGACAAACAGTTATGGTTGCGACAAGCCCCAGAGGCGGTGTTCAACGACAGACTCCAGGTTGCCCAAAGGCTGCGATTGACTTGCCGAGGCTCCGCGGAAAATTGATCGGCAGAAGTCGCGAAAGTCCCAAGACGTGCAAGTGTTCTGCAAGGCAGTTTGAGAGATTTGCGCTCTCGGCAAACCGAGTGCAACGTATATCAAGTGCGTGAAGCTGGACCGAAAAAGAGAATCAGGCTGACTCGGGGCTGGAATGCACGTGGTGAATAAATAGTTGATTGCTGTTAAAGTACGGGGGCGAATTAGCGTCGGTTCCCACACATATAATCCAGTTCAAATAAGACAACACAGAAGAACATTGAGAGTTCCCCAAGGGCAACTGCTTACAAATCGGATAAGTAGAAAGGGTTTGGGTGCATATCCATCAATATCAATGTCACAAGGTACTCCACATTTGAATCAACGAGCCTGGCGCATAGCTCAATTGGGACGGAATATGTGGAAGAAGCGCGGAGCATTAGGAAGAGCAACCCAGGTTCACAAGTGGAGAAATAGAGACATTGGCGAATGGGCTGTAGGGCTGTTGAGAAAAAGGAAAAAAAAGAAAAGGGGAAAATTAAAGCTGTGTGTGAGAGAGGGAGAGAGAAGAAGAAGAAGATCAGAAGCTGAGGGGTGGTGCCAAGTTGTGGAAGAGGATCCAATAGCGCCCGCCGCTGTGGATTTTCCCAGGGTGGAGGGGCGATCCGGATTTGATTTTCTATACGGAGGGATTTTAATTTAGATTATATACGGAGTAGATGATCTTATATGTTGTACTTGATTTATTCTATAACAGGGAATTATTCCAGTTGGTTTCCACGTATAACATATACATATATCATGATCTATATATACAACATAGGTAATATATAAGAGTTACCGAGTTATATTAGTAGTTGGTGAATAAGGGATGAGGGCGTCTCCACTTAGGAGTGATACTGTTACCTTAGTGAATTAATAGTACAAAGTTATTTATGCTACTATGCTATTATTACAATGGGTTATTATTATTACCTATGTACGGAGTACACGGAGTATTTCCGAGGTTATATAGAGGGAAGTACGTGTATATGTTGTTGTATATGTACCTAGGTATACTACATGTATGTAACTATAACTGCAATGATGCAATAGTGTCACATAGGGGGAAAAGTAAATAAGTAAATGACCTGGGAATGGGAAATAAACACATAAACGATTCACACTCCAAAGCTTTCCGAAACAGACCCAAATATTCCCCCAAAAAAAGTACACGAAAAAGACACGTTCTGGTGAAATATACAATTAGGCCAAAATTGCCGGGGAGACTTCGGATAAAAGTGATTTTCAAGCCTGTCGATCTTCCCCGAGCCACTAGGATTGTCAGGTTACATATTTCGTACGGAGTACATAGTAGAACTTTACATAGCCCTATTATCAGGGATATATAGGGATATACATATACTAGAACCATTAATGATTCCAATATAATTACAGTATAATGCATAATCCATATTCCTTATAATAGTCAATATACTAAATCGCGATATATCAAAATTGAAAAAAATAAAAAAAAAAAAAAAAAAAAAAAAATAGGGTGGTTTTACAGACGGTACTTCGTGCGGAGTCATTACCGAAGACTCGCACGTGAACATATGATAAACTGATAAACGTTATCGCAGTTTTTACCCTTCTACTACTACACCTTACTCGCCACTCTCAACTGGTCCTTGTACCTATTTCATCATGGCGGAAATGCAAAATTCAAACCCTACGATCCTCAATGCCGCTGATCTCCCCACGCGGTTGCGACCCACCGCCACTCGCAAGTCCGAGTATGGTGGTATCTTCACATCGGCCCTGCCCTCGCCCCAGTAGACTTTGAGAGTGCCCCGTCATCTGACTCAGAGGATGACAACCTACTAGAGGAGCCTATTGATGAACAGGAAATATATGGTAAGATTCTCCCAGACACATCTCTTCAGCAAAAAGCCCCCCCGGAGATGATTACCTAGGTACCCTTGCTCAGTCCACTAAAACGATCAGATCTCATCTCGTCGATCTCCGACCCGGAACATCCAATTTCGCTCGGTGAATTAGCCGTGGTCTCTCTCCCAGATATCAAGATCAAACCAACCCTTCCTGATGTCCCTGATTCGCCTCTGCAAACTGTCACCGTGCTGATCACGCCCACAATCACGCACTGCAGTCTGGCAACCGTCATCGGTCTTGGCGTCCGCGTTCGTCTGGAACAATCTCTCCCCTCAAGATTCAGAATGGATGTCCGAATTAAAGAAGGTACACACAGTACTGGAGACGAGGTCAACAAGCAGCTCGCTGATAAGGAGCGGGTTGCCGCAGCCCTAGAGAATGGTGCGTTGATGGGGGTCATTGCCAAAATGATGGAGACTTGTCATTGAAATTTCGGAACACTTTGTACTATAAACGGGAGATCTGAATCCACCGGTGATGCGATTCCCTAGGTAACGACATAGCACCAGCAGATAGACCAGGCCCTCTCGTGTCACGACCGCCTACGATGAATGACTCTAGATTTTGAAGAAGCATTGGAATGAGTATTAGAAGTACATATGAACTTTGCTACCACCACAAGATTGTTTACACCGGATCAAAGGACTCCTTCCCCCCCAATAGCCAACCCTATTTTGAGTAGTGAAAATTTTGAGATCATGAGTCCAGCACGCCACTTTCCTTCAAACCCTTCCAGAGCTCCGGCTCCAAAAACTTACTCACTGTAACATCTTCAGCCAGACCCTTGCGCCTCCGTGTTTTCAAGACAAAGTCACGGGCAGTAGCCATGGCCGGGGCCATCTCCAAGGGCTTGAGCTTGATATCCCGGTCCAGTGGGTCACCAGGGACCACACTCCATTTATCGAACGCAAGGTTTACCATAGCTTGACCTTGTGTGTGAATTCGGAGATCGGTCTCAAATCCAAACGAGTCAATCACTGGGATTAAACCACGTACGGAGTAAAGAGGCGTTCCCGCAATGGGACCGTCTGACAGGACGTGACCTCTTCGGCGGGACAAGACTGTGTACACCGAAGCCACGGAGTCTGCAGGTCCTGTCATCGTGACGGAATAGATCGGCTCCATGAGACGTGGAGATGCCATAAGGAACGATGAGTATACAGCACGGCGGGCTGTAGGGATAATCTGGCCTCCACCGCGGTATATGGCCTGATCGGCCAGGGACACGTCTGTGAGCCTGAACTTCGTGTTTCGAATTGCTAAATTTCAATTAGTGTCACATTCGTCATCTGCGCCGAAACCGCAAGGTCATTGGCGAATGAGGAGGGGAGGGGGGGAGTCAAAACTTACGTTCTTCACAAAGAGGGCCTTCCCGTGTACCCCAGCTGAAGCCTTGAGTGATAGAGTCCCTAACAGTACCGAGGAGTTTCTTATCCACTTGAGAGGGTAAAGTGTCATCTTGGAGAATATTGGGACCCATTTCATCCGGTCCGAACGCCCAGATGCTTCGCGCCGCAAGCTTATCCCAATCGTAATTGTCCTCGAAGTATCGAGCAACCTTCCGAATAGGGTCCTTGATACTGACTTTGCCACTTTCAATATCCTCTGCAATCCCATCCTCTAAAGGCTCCGCAATCATGGTGATTTTATTCTTCTTATTCGGGGTGATGGAGTAACACATGATGGCAGAGGTTTCCACCACAGTCTCACAGAAGCGTGTAACGGGGTCGGAGACCTTGATCTCCATCTCTGAGTATAGTCTCCGGAGATCATGGAGCACACAGTCCATGTAAAGCTCACCGGTTCCTAGAACCACATGCTCGCCAGATTCCTCAACCTTGGTTGAGATGAGGGGGTAGCTCTTGTTGATTTTCCGCAGTCCATCCAACATCTTGGGGAGTTCTGATGGATTGACCGGCTCAACGGCGACCTTAAACACCGACTCGGTCATGTGCCGAATTGGACGGAAGATGTACGCCTCCTCGTCATCTTCGAGCTTCAGGGGCACCAGCGTCGCAGTCTTGACAATGGAGTTGTCGACGCCACCCAAAAGAACCCAGTTTCCGGCGGGGACACCATTGGTCGGGATGTTGTAACGCGTTTCCGCAATCCACGTGTCGGAGATGGTCGCCACTACCATGTCTTCCTCATCCTCTGGTGTGTAGCCCTCGCCGAGGACACGGACCTGCTGACCAGGTCGCGCGGTACCACTCATAATTCTTCCAAAAGAGTGGAAACTTCCGGCATCGGTACTGCTGAAGAGTTTGGTGACATGGATAACCAAAGGACCGTCTTGATCACAAGCGACCATTGAGGCCCCAACCTTGGTATCCACAGGCCCAGTGTAGTATCGCTCCAATGCTCTCTGGGCACCTTCCACAGGGGAAGGAACGTGCTGGACAACCATGTCCACAAAGCCAGTGGGCAGTCCAAAGAATTTCTCGCAGACCAGACTGAGCAGCTCCTTGGCATCGGTCTTAAGCTGAGATGGCTTCAAATGGACGCCGACGCTAGCCAGAGTCTCTTTCAAATCCTCGGGACTCTCGCTTAGTGTGTGTGAGTAGAGCTTGTAAATCGACTCCAATACAAACTTGACGAATGACCGCTTTGCGTTCTCCTCCACTCCTTTGCGAGTGAACTTTCGGCTCTTGGGATTATAGAAGATGTCACCCCAAAGTCGCGCGGCAAATTCTGTCGAGTCTAAGCTCGGATGATTGTCTGCGTACATCCGGGCAAATGACTGCAATGTAAAGCACCAATTCATCGAGCTTGATGCAAATGCAACATTACCCTTCTCGGGGCTCAGTCGTCTTCGCTCGCCTTGCCCTGGCAAGACGTTCTCGATAATCGTATTGACCTCTTCAATCACATGCTTCAACTTGAAATAGGCATCATTGGGAGGAAGCTTGAGCTCGAGAATGAGTCGATCCATCTTGTTGACGACCAAGGTCAAGGGAAGATCTTCCAATACTGCATGTTTGATAATCTGCTCGGTGTTCGCCTGAACACCTTCGACAACATCCACAACCAGTACCACACCGTCAGCTAGGCGGATAGAGGCAGCCACCTCATCGACAAAATTCACGTGCCCGGGGGTATCAAGGAGGTTGAGCAGGTGAGATTTGCCTTTAGTGCTTGGGAGAACAAGACTCATCGGTGCCGACTTGATTGACACGCCCCGCTCTCTCTCTAGGAAATGGACATCAGTGTATCGCAGTTGTTCTTCCCTCTTCCGTCCTGTGCGCTTCTCCAGTCGCTCTGTTAGGTCGTGCGTGAATTTGACCAGCATATCCATGAAAGCAGTCTTTCCATGGTGCAGGTGACCAACGATTGCGATATTTCTTGTCTGTGCTGGAAAGTTCAAGAGATCAGACATGAACTCCCGAGAGAAATGTACGGGTGGGAGTTCAGTCTCTGCAATCGCAAATTTCTTCTGCTGGACGGGGGCAATGATGGGCTCTGATAATGGTTGGGCATCTTCCTCCTGAACCATAGTTTCGACATCCTCGCCGTAAACTTGTTGTGCGCTGGGGTAGTATTGCTTATCTTCGTGCAATATGACCGCATTCGAAGGACCCTCTGGGAAAGAAGACAAAATCAGCGAGATTGTAGACTGTGAATAAGACACATTGACATACCATCGACTTCCATCAACTGTTGATCATTTATCTCCTCTTCTTCTTCATCATTGAAAGCCTCATCAAACTTGAAGGCTTGAGGTTGGACATCTTCATGATGCTCCTCGTCGGATTCCGCATCACCGATGTAGTTACCAAACCTAGACACAATTAGCAAGGTTGTAGATTCGTTGAGTTAAATAAACATACTCATCATAGAGGTCATCCATAATGAATTGTAGAGAAAAGGTGTGAAGGTTAAAAAAAGAGGGACCGTAGCTCCAGACGCGTGTCGGAGAAGTTGAGGATCTCAACTTTCACTTGGTCCGAGCGTTTTTCGGAGTACTCGTGCCTACACCGTACAGCTCCTCACTCCCCACCATACAATTTCACTCTTATAGATGCCCCTCCCTCTTTGATCTGGATTATTTCCCACTTCTCTTGACTTCTGTATATTCCTATATTCTCTACTTCCGTTCTTCCCCCTTCCAAAATGTCTTCTCTTCCTCCCGTCTACATTGTTTCTACTGCCCGTACCCCCGTGGGCTCTTTCCTGGGGTGAGCATTCCTATATTCTTCTCCCCCTCCCCTGAAGACTTGATCTGACATTGGTTACTGTAGCTCCCTTTCTAGCTTGACTGCTCCTCAGCTTGGTGCACATGCCATCAAGGGTACGGCATATCAAACTATATCCTACCTACCTTCAATGCTAATAGTACTTTACAGCGGCTGTCGAGCGGGCTGAGGGCATTAATGCCTCTGATGTCGAAGAAGTTTTCTTCGGTAACGTTTTGTCTGCTGGGTGAGATAACTTTACTACATATTCTAGCGCAATTGTGACTGACCTATTTTCGTTATAGTGTTGGACAGAACCCCGCCAGACAGTGCGCCATCGGTGCTGGCCTTACCGAATCTACCGTCTGCACCACTGTCAACAAGGTCTGCGCTTCTGGCCTGAAGGCCATTATTCTCGGTGCTCAGACTATCATGACCGGAAACGCCAATGTTGTTGTCGCTGGTGGAACTGAGTCCATGTCGAACACCCCTCACTACCTGCAAACCTCTCGCAGCGGTACCAAGTTTGGCAGCCAGACCCTGGTTGACGGTATCCAGAAGGATGGTTTGACTGATGCCTACGGCAAGCAGGATCTCATGGGTGTTGCGGCCGAGGAGTGCGCTGAGGACCACGGTTTCAACCGTGCCCAGCAGGATGACTACGCTATCCGCAGCTACGAGAAGGCCCAGGCTGCCCAGAAGGCCGGTGCTTTCGACTACGAGATTGCCCCTATTGAGATCCCCGGATTCCGTGGCAAGCCTGGTGTGACTGTCTCCCAGGATGATGAGCCCAAGAATGTGTGTACCTCTTGTCTGCGTTAAATTATTGTTGGCTTTTTGACTAACCATTCCTCGTGGCTTTTAGCTCAACCCTGAGAAGCTCCGCGCCATGAAGCCTGCCTTCATCCCTGGCACTGGAACCGTGACCGCCCCCAACTCTTCACCCCTGAACGACGGTTCCGCCGCCGTTGTCTTGGTTTCCGAGGCTAAGGTGAAGGAGCTCGGCCTCAAGCCTATTGCCAAGATCCTGGGTTGGGGTGATGCCGAGCAAAAGCCCAGCAAGTTCACCACTGCTCCTGCTTTAGCTATCCCGAAGGCACTGAAGCACGCCGGTGTGACTCAGGACTCCATCGATGCCTTTGAGATCAACGAGGCCTTCAGTGTTGTGGCTCTTGCCAATCTGAAGCTCCTTGGTCTCTCCGAGGACAAGGTCAACATCCACGGTGGTGCGGTCGCCATTGGACACCCTCTCGGAG